GGTTGCTTGGATGAAAAAAGCTCGAGGTGGACCTCTAAACTTGAATTTAGGAGGAGCATCAACCTCCATACCTGGCCCATCTTCTCAAATAATGGACTCCGTAGTGAAACGCATTAAGAGCGTCTCATATGCAGAGCCAAGTTGTCAATGGTCCAGCAGGTGGACCACATACCACATGGTATAGGCACATATCGCTTTCCAGCATCCGCTGACTGAAAGACCGGAAAAAGATGTATTTAGAGGTGATTCTGAATATCAATTTTTATGAGGCCAATTATTTAGTGGCAGGGGAAAGCGTTCATTTTGAAAAGTCTATTCAACTCGCTCAATCCTTGACCAATTCGCTTCTATCGGATAGAAAAGGAATGRTTGAAAATGATATAGACGATTGCATTGAATCTTTATTATGTTTTCGATTTACGTTCTCTTATACTATCTTACAGATACAGAGCTTGGGCGACCTGTGCTGAATTATGAAAATTTACTCGCATTGAAGCCGTAACCTCAGTGGTGTGAAGAAAATAGCAAACGAAATTACAAACTAATTACCTTCAACTTTATTTGGTACAATAACTCTTCGTGCGCTTTGACCAGCAAGAGGTTGTGGTGGGCCAAAGAATTTTTAGCGTGCACCTCCATTTCCTCTGAGTTACCATGGAAGGTGCACAGTGGTACGTCACAAGGACGAATCCGTTCCTCGCAACACATTAAATGTTCCATAGCCTCACTCCTAAAATAGTAGTTAAGTTAAAAGAAGAACTTCTCAGTGATTTTAGATTCTATAAACTTTCACTCTTAATCACACATTTCTCTATCCTGCAGAGTACACTGCCAAAATTTCTAGCTAGTAGAGTCTCCCTCGTTGGTTCGAATATAATGCTCCGGGGAAGTTCAACAATAATAATTTTAATACAAATAAACACGTATATTATTGACCATTATATTCGATACTTTGTACCAAGATGTTTTAAAATAAATCATAATTTTTCCTTGGACTTACGCCGTGCTCACACATGTATGTCAATCGCCGCAGATAAGACTTTTTAAAAACAGTTAWAACTGAACTGATCATGATATACTGGTTCAGAGTAAAGGGATATATACTCACATTTTTATTCTATGTTTGTCTTGTGYTTTTCTGAAGTATGGACAAATATTTTCCATATTGAAGAATTATGCGGTTTCTCTACTGTRAGGACTTGCAGCTACAAAAGACTGTTTTCAGCTTTCCCACGGGGTAATGAGGTCTGACGCAAGACAATTAGAACAAAGGGTATTTGTTAGAAGTATTTCGACACTTCCCTCTCTTGGTGTGAAGTCACTTTAATTTCGGTTATTTCGTTAGTTTAGTTCTGTATGTATGTATGGTATTTTGTTTTTAATCTTGCTTTGTTTTTGTAAATGATACATCTTCTTATCTCTTCATTGTGTGCTTTCTAGTTTGGACCAAATCGTTGGTCATAGGATGAGCATTACCAACACTGCAGGGTCTATAAAGAAATAAAAATTTGCAAAAAAATAAAAACGTTTGTAACATTTACATTGGTACAGTACATCATTGATTTTAATGATGTTATGTTATATTTCGTCTACCATTTTCAGGTTCATCTTCACC